CCGACTCCGAGACCAACTTGGGGTCTGGGCCAAACTCAGAAGCCGAACCCATGGTGAATCCGGTGCCCGTGGAGGTGGCTCCGAATCCGGAATCTTGTGAGTATGGTGCCGGTGGCGGTGGCGTTGAGGTGATCATGACGGGAGGGGCATAAACATAATCTTGTGAAGATTTCTGACTGCAAAAATCACAGAGAGATTCATTAATTAAAGTAATTAAAAAACTAATGGCGCCATTTGCGTTGGTGGTGAGTGGTGTGAGATCAATCATTAAAGACAAATCCGCCAACCATAGTCTAAGACACATTCATTCTAAACCAACCATATTTTATAGCCACAGCATCCAAAAAGGTTATTCCCTGGCCGTATACAATGCAAATGCCACCTCCTAATAGTAATAGCATTCAAAACATTATGCTAATCATAGAAAATCACAAGCATATAATTTTTATAGTTTAATATTACTGAAATTACATTTTCCAAAAACGTATATCCGGTACAAAATTTATGTAAATATATTGCCTATGAACTTATCAAACTTTTATTTTAATTACAAATTAAATGTATCTCAATTATTTTGATAAAAGTTGGGGGAGCATATATTCTAATTTAGATGCTTTGGTAGCAGACATTAGTGCCGGATAAAGAAACGAAGTTCGGTCAATGTCTGGGTACCATATAATAATAACATGGCATGAAAAGATAAAGCTTGCTTGCTTTGGTCTTTTTACCTGGGAGAGGATGGGCAAAACGTCACCGTATAGTCGGCACCCGTACACGTAAACGTACTCGTAGCGTCGTCGTAGGCGTAGCTATACGATCTCGGGCAAGCCGACTTGAACATTTCCGAGTACACGGATGCTTACACGTCGCCGGCGAGCTGTATGCGCCGCTGCAACAGTACTGAGGGCTGTTGAATGCCTCACACGCGCTCTTACACGCGTCTCCCTCCCCCACTCTGAGCTCCTGCGGGCACTGCCGGTTCAGATCCGAAACGCAACCGGTAGGAGCGCACAGACCCGACCCACCCGTCCCTTCCACGATCATCGGAACATTGTACCCATCCACAAGACTAACGTCGTAAAAGTCTTGCCCTCCCGTACTACTACTGAGCGTAAACTCGGCGAGAGTGACAGGCGGCGACGCCCCGGCGCCATTACACTCGAGCTGCCCTGAGCCACAGTCGCCAGTGACACATTTGCCGGATCCGTCGAAGTTACAACCTGTCCGACCCCAGAAGCGGCCGGACCAGCCGGTGGGAGCGAGGAAGGAGCGGGAAGTATCTTTGGGGAGCTCGAATCCGTGGTGTCGAGGCTTCCGCTGCCGGCATTAGCGAGGATTCCGGGCCAGACGGTGTGTGGTGACATCGGTTGACGAATGTGAAAGTGGTAGCGTGAACTGCTGAAGAAGAAAAGAGTAAGAAAATGTTAAATAAAAAGCACAGAAGAAGCGAGAGAGAAAGAGAGAGTAGGATAGTTAAATGATTACCAGAGGGAATGAGGAGGAGGAGGAGGAGGAAGGTGAAGCAGGGAGGGGGGGATGTTCCATGGCGGAAGTTGGAACACGAGAGGAGAGTGATGGTGTTGGGGAGGTGCTGGCACTGAGCAGCGAGGCTTCCTAAAAGGAGCAGGGTTTTGGGTTGGAATTGGATGATCGAAATTCAATAATATCCATAATAGGAACGCATGTTCGGTAATTCATAATCTTTTGGAGTTTTTATTTTGTGTGCTTTATAATTAGCGTGTTTTTACCCCCCCCCCCCTTTTTCCCCCGGGGGGGAAAAAGGACGGAAAAGGGTTTTTGTATTCTGTACCAACAAAGAGTTGTTACTTGTTTGTACTTCGTAGTTTCCTCCATGTATCTAATTATCTGTGGCAATAATGCATCTCGCTAAAAAATGTAACTTTCTATGTTCCTTTTTTTGTCAAAGTTCCTGAATTAATTAAAGCAAATAAGAGTTATACACCACTTTTCTTATCTTTTTTAATTCTAGTAATATGAAGTATTTTAGAAATCAAGTCACTTGATTTATATTTTTGTATTTTACGTTAATTAGGGAACTACTATTTAACTTATCAGATAATAATGATAACTTCTTTCTTTTTTTTGGGGGGTCCAATGACACGATAGAACCGAACTGGACTCCCAGCGGAAAAAGTAGGAAATAGAGAAGGAAGGAGAGGAAGATCATTGGGGCTGCCATTTTTTGAAACCAGTTTGGGTACTTGTCACTTTGGTAAGAATTATAAACTCACCACCAGATTTAAATCGTTTATATCTTATTTAAATAGTTTAGATTTTATTTTTTATTTTTATTTATTCAAAATAATTATTTTAATATATATAATCTAAAATAGAGAGAATATCTTAACTATCATTCTACCAAAAAATAGTTTCTTCTATTTAAAAATAATTAATTAAAATTTTTAAATTTAAACCATTCAAATCAGATATAGACAGTTCAAATCTGATGAGTTTAAGGTATTTATGAAGATGATGAGTGCTGAAACTAGTTTTATCGTCTCTTTAAAGGGACCTGCGCACCCCGTCTTGTTGTCCACGTCATATTTTGACAACCGCTGTGTTTGTGCCACGAGTGCATCGGGCTGGTCCTCTATCGTTCTTTTCTTGTTTTTCATCCACTATGAAGTCTTATCTCGCATTGGATTCCGTTTCGCTTCTCTCTTCATTTTTCAAGTCTGGCTCCCTCCAAACCCCAGGGCGCTGCCTTTATTAAGGCTGAGTCAGCATAAGAGAGTGCCATGTGGGCATCACCAAGCCACCTCAGCACGTTGATCGAGGATGAAGCGGCAGGCATTTACATTAAACTTCCGAGCAGCTCTGGTCCTGAAGGGAGTTTAATTGGTGGGCAAATAAGAAAGTAAGTTGGAAGCCAGGAGAGATCGGGGCTCAAAATCCAAAGCCATTTGGGTCGTGGCCGTTGTGGCTTTTCCGGCTACAAAGAGACGAAAACGCTTTTACTTTTAAGGCTCAAAATCAAACCTGTTTGTGGTCATTAATTCAGCTAGCTAGCTCTCTCGGCTGGCTGAGTTCTAGGTCCCAATGAAAATGCCCATATTGTAACTCAGCGGGATGAGTAGAATGCGGCATAAACCTGAAGGTGGTGGGATGCAAAGAAACCGTGATGGCTATTTTGACTGTTATGTTTCCAGGCAAGTCTTTGATGCGGGTGAACAATCAAGCTGGCCTCGCAAGCTAATAAGAATTGATTCAAAATTTATTACTGATGTGGGAGTCTTATTGATAAATAATTTGTAAGTATTCTGTAAGGAAAAGACCTCCAGATCTAACTCATCTGGAAAAAATTTGGCGTCGCAGTGCAAATCAGTAATAAAAAATGTTTACCCATAGCTCGGCCCCCTAGTTCCCTGGTGGATTGATTAGGTGTGGCCCAACATTGCCATTAGCTCCATAAAGACGGGTTTGATACGATCTGCAGACTACAAAAATGGTTGGGGCCACTTCTCATGTGGGGTTTTGATCGGGCTTCCAGTTAAAGATAAGAGGTCAGCGTTTGGCGATTCCATTCATGCACAAAGGTTTAATGGTACTGGAGATAGAACCAGAGATAATCTGGAATGGATCAAGGGGGGCTTGAATCGGGGGATTCTTCGAGTTGGCCAACCTTAGCTTTTGACATCATTCATAATTTGGCTTCTCAGCTTGTTTTTCCTTGAAACATAACAGCAACATGTGCATCAATTATGTCACTGAATTCAGGCATCTAATCATGACAAGATAATCTGCTCAAAAATCAGTTCAAGTTCTCACTTCCCAACTTGTATATTAATTTATAAATTAATTAATGATCTCGTTCTTTTCTCTTTTTTTTGGTTCTTTGGGATGAAAAGTCCCTGTCCCCTTCTGTGATTATGTGTGAAGTGTGAACTATGAATGCTGTTTTTCCCATGAGAAAGTTGATTGCGGCTCTGTAGATCTCAACAACACTCATTCCACCAAAGGACTGAATGAAAAATTCTTTATGGTCACCGCAGACGAAAACAAGACGTACTTCTGATTTTTTAATTAACAAAAAAAAGTTATTTGAGGGTTTTTTTCCCCTCTTTAATCTCGTTTAGTTACAATTCAATTCAATTGTTTAATGGTATTTAAACCATATTTTCGCTTCTCATATTTGTTTCGTTTTAATTTAATTCGTTAATTTTTATATATATTTTAACTTTTGTTCCTCAGTTTATATTGTTCTCTATATTTTGATCATATTATCAAATAAAAAATTAAGCGGAAATTGTGCTGCTCAGCACAAGTAAGATCCAAAAACACAAATTTTAACATTATTAAGAAGAGTTAATAGCACTTTAATCCTTTAAGTTTGTTCTTATTTTAGTTTTAATTAAACCATAAGTTTTAATCCCTCAAGTTTTTTTATTAAAAATATTAGTCCTTATAATTTAATAAAAACTTAGACTATTTTACTTCTTAAAAAAACAAAACCTATAATTTAAAATTGAAGAGATCAAAATCAAAATAAAGATAAATTTAAAAGATCAAAAATTATATTAACCCGTTAAGAATATTAAAAAGATTTTAGCTTTGGATAAAAGTGGAACTGGATAAAGCTCACTAACCATTCCGATACATGAGGTCTCTTTAACCTGAGGCTTAGGTTTTCGAATCCGATATGAGGATCAGGATTCCCACAAACCCCCGATAGCATAAATAGGAAAAATTCCTTTGACCCGCATGCACGAAGTTCCATTGTTTTCTTACCCCGGTTAACACTGCTGATTACGGAAAACAAATCCCCTATGCTGTTTGTTCTTCTTCATCGTCTTGCTCACAAATACAATCATTTTTCTTCTAGTTAAAAGAAGCAATAACAAAAGAGACATGATACTAGTAATTACTTGGGCATTTCTGCGGATGCTATATCAACAATACTGTAACTTCGTCTTCCCAAAATCTGATTGCAGGCACAGAAATTTCCAAACAATACTTTACAACTTGCCAATGCCTCTTATGGTAAACTCAAAATTCAATAATCAACCGAGATAAGCTACTAAAATCTTGATGTACATTATACCAAAGGGGAAAAAATGTATTTACAGTATACCCCCATATAGTATTCTTGCAGTCCTGCATGATGTGAAGAGTCAGCAGACTAAAATCATTTGAGACAGTAATGCAAAATTTGGAAGCAGGGAAAGGCACTTAACAAAATGAAGAGCTCACACAGATTCAGTCAAAGATGCAACTCAGGCACTTTCGTTTTACCTAACTTATCTGCTTCAAGCGTGCATGCAAATATGAGTCATAACGGATGAAAAAGAGAGCAAAACAGGAAAGATGCAGCTGCAAGAGAGGCAATGTAAGCCATAATCTGCATTTGATTCAGACCTGTTGATGAAGAAACTCCTGAGTGCTTCAAGTACATCATGGTCTTGTTTACAAGAGGAAGTGTTGCCCCATCTTTTCGTGCTCCCAGCACCTTTTGGCTGCTCAACATCAACCCAGTAAAAGATAAATGTTCATGTTATTAGATAGTAATAAGAAGTGCCCGAGGACATATGCTCTAGAAGCATGAAAATCATACCACTTACGCATTATACAACATAGATGTCTACGTTCATTATAAGCAAGAACAAAAGGAAAATTCAAACTCTACAAGGGAAGGAGTTTTAAAACTGAGTTAGAAGAGGCACACGTATGTGATAATTCAAGGAGACGTGCTCATGTTTTAGTTGGTCAACAGTTCACTAGTACATGGAAAGAGAATTTTGTGTGAGTGAGTCTGTGAGTGAGTGTAAACAATGTCTTGCTATTGAACAATCTAGGTTTAAACATCACCGGGCCAAACAGGGAGTGGGTTTCATAATGTAAAAATTTTTCTCTACAAAGTTTTGAACTTACAACCTTGTCTAAGATGTACAAGTCTTTCCCACTTGAGCTAACTATCATTAATATGATGAGGTCAAAAAAGAGGGGGAAAAATAAAAAAAACTATCCTTAATGTGATAGAAGCCCTAGGAAAAGCTGGTTAAAATACATACTTTACACTAATCTGGGAATCCTCATCTGGTGTAATTTGAAAGATTTCGATTAAATTTTGTGAGGTTTTGCTTGATTTTATTATGCTTATGAACGACTTCTATTCTTATTCTTTGTAAAGTGAGAACTTGAGATTCCATTTGGAATATATCCATTCACAAGCAACAGTTTATTTTACTCCTCACACCAACCACTCAACTGCACAAAACTTTGGGGCCATAGTTTACAACCTTCGGGAGTGAAACTTCTTTATACCTTGTCTAGAAATTAGAACCCTCAGCTACCCCATCTAAAAGTAGAAAGTTCACATAGCTGATTCTGCTATTACAATGATGATAAGTCATATCTGAAACAAGACAATGACATGTGAAGAACAAATTCGAGCCAGAGAATATCAAGGCACGGGCTAATGAACATACCGAAAGTTTCATTATTCAGTTTATCTAGTATAGTGCCATAAAGGGCACTAATCAGGTATCCATCCCCTACCTCCCTTATAAACCAATGAAACTACTGTTCAGTAAACCAAGACTGAAGAAAACATCTGGCACTAGAGGCAACAAGAGCAACAGGCCAAAATGTAATTTAAGGGCAGCATAACCCCCACCTCGCATTAATGAAATCCCTTAGGGAACATTTGATTACGTTACAGACTAATTTGACTGAAGGGGGAAGCATATGTTGCTCAAGGACATGGATACATCCGAGTTTACATGATGTGCTTGTCAATATATTAAATACAAATTGAGAATTCCAATAGTTGCTTTCCATTAGATAACTATGCCAAACAAAATAATACAATTCAGATTTTAGTTTTAATTGTGTAATGGAGAGTCAGCTTCTAAAATGAAAAGGTTAATACAAACTTTCATCCTTCAAATTTACATTCATTTTGGTTTTAGTACCTTAACTTTTAAACTATAGGTTTTGGTCCATCAAGTTTTTTTTCATTTAAAACATTGATCCCTATAATCCAACAAAAACTTGGACCATTTTGCCTGTTGAGGACCAGAACGTATGATTTGAAACTTGAGAGATCAAAACCAAAACCAAAACCAAAATGAAGGCAAACTTAAGAGAAGAAAGATTATATCAACCAAAATAAAAATAGCACAAGATACGTTTTTTAAGCTAAAGATGTGAGATGCTTTATGGCAAAGACAGAGCCTTGAAAGCCAGAAGGCATCGGGATTTGGAGGGGAATAACAAAATCACACGAGAAATTTTTAGCTTTGGGGCTTGTTCTTACCCAGATTAATAGAATATCGCGTTCTACCCTTGTTCAAAGTATTTTTTTTTTAAAAAAAAAAACATGGCTGTCAATTTATATGCAAAACATGCTCCACGTTCCAAGGCTTTAAACCACCTATTATTTTGTAACGCCTGAAAAGCCAATTACTGTACAATCATATACGAAAGCTGGAAGTGAAAAAGAAAGCTTCACGCAATTAAGGGCGTCCACACTAATCATCCACAAATTTAACTTAAAAACAGGTGGGGCCACATGGTTATGGAGTAATTGTACCTGGTGTAGGGCAAGGGGCAGAATATGATCAAGTAGTCGGCCGAAGCACACGTGTACGTGCTTGTCTTGTCATCGTAAGCGTAGCTATACGCGCGGGGACAAGCGTGCTTGAAGAATTCCGAATACACTGATGGATGACACGTGTCGGGCGTAGCGTACGCCTCACTGCAGCAATACTGCGGATCCCCAAAAGCCTCACACGCGCTTCTGCAAGCCACGCTTTTCCCTGTCCCATTCCCACTCGCCACCTTAAGATCAGCCGGGCACGCTCCGTTCAGGTCAACCAAACATCCAGTGGCGCTACATCCACCCCGTTTTCCTCCTTTCGCGACGATCAGCATCGGCAGGTTGTAGCCGTCGACCAAGCTCACGTCGTAGAAATCTAACCCGTCGGCGCCGTTGAGAGTGAACTCAGCCAGCGTGGCGGGCGGCTTAGCTCCACCGGCACACTGTACTTGACCGGAGCCGCAGTCTGCAGTGAGGCAGGAGAACTTTCCGTCAGAATCTCGACCACAAAGGGTCCGAGCCCATATCCTACCCGACCAAGATTTGGGGATGTTTATAGTCTCTGACTTGCCACTTGGAAGAGCGAATCCAGTGGTGGAAAGCTGTGGAGAAGTGGCGCCAGAGAGCAGACCCGGCCAAATCGTGTGGCGACACTTATTCACAATCTTGAAAGATGCCGGTTGCACCTCTGCAATTAACAGAAACAACACATGATAAGCCAAAAGAGATTAAATAGAAAAAACAAAGTTATGAAACAAGAAGACTGAAGAAGGGATGATTTCGAAAGGCGGTGAAATTTGTGTTAATTACCCGACAGGAAAGACAGTGCAAGGAAGATGAGAATGATAAGGAAGCGAAGAAGGCGTCCCATAGAGGAAAGCAGCAGGATCATTCATCAAAACATGAGAGACGATAGCAAACAACAGAGAGAGAGAGAGAGGATTTGATTAGACGATGGCAAACAGCCTTACTTTTCTTGCGAAGTCCGTGCTGTATTAGTTCCTCCTTCTTGCTTTAAGAAAATAATTTTTTGGGTAAAGTTGCGATTGGGACAAAAATCTTTAATGTAAGCATTTTATGTTTTAAATCATTATTATTAATAATATTCTAATATATGTTCTCTGTATGCATCATTGAATGGAAAGCTGAACCACTGAACTATGTGCACCTTGAAATCTGTATTTTTCTTTTGTTTTTAAATTTGTTTACTTTATTCTCAAAATTTCAAAACCCCTCCATGCATTTTTAATGCAAAGAGTTGCGCTTTTTTTTTTTTTATAACAGATTTTAAAACAAAGTAAATTATAATTCTTTTAGATTATTTACCAATTAAAGTTAGTGCTAGGCTACAAGGAGCGATAATATTAGTAATTTTTATTTAATAGCAGGTGAACTTTCTAAACACTTACATTTCCATAACTGCTAACTTTCCCATCTTGCCATCATTTTTCTTAGCCATGAACATCAAAATGGTGTCAAAGTTAAATATAATAGAATGTGAGACATGTAAGTGATATTAATGTCTGGATGCTTCAGAATAAATTCATCATATGACAAAGGAAATAAAAAGAACAGGAAGGTAAGGTCAAAGTTTAAACGAGAGAGTTGCTTAGACTCGTAGAGTACAGAGCCTAGTGTTGAGAACCTTAGTCTGAAACAGAGCATTTACGATAGTGATATGATACTGAAGAAGTATGCTGGCTGGGGAAGCATATCTGAACAATGCTTGTTTGTTAAGTAAGTTTACCGAACTTTCTCAAAGTTTGTGTTTCCATGCAATTGCCGACTTTCCCATCTTGCCGTGCCATCATTTTCCTGGGCATAAATGGTATTTTAAGTATGGGAGAAACCTTTTTCAGTCTTATCGGGAAAGCGTCAGCTTTCATCTGTCATGGAGCACCAGCATTGCCAACGAGAAGCAAAGATACGGACGCAATAATTAGGAAAAATTGCTCTAAGAAAATTAAATCTAAATTTTTTTTTCAAAATCATTAAATTATTCTGAAATCTTAAAAAATTTTATTAAAAAAAATTGTCTTTTTTTTTTAAGTTTGTATTGATAACCAAAAGAACAGTAGTTAATAACTTCAAATATAAAAATTAACAACTATCATAGCAGCTGTTGATAACTCATATATTACATTTTGTGATGTGTTGAGAAAATAAAAATGTATTGTCAACACCTGTCGCGATAGTTGTTAATCCTCACAGCTTAAGTTGTTGATGACAACTTTTTCAGTTATCATTGTAAACTTTAAAAAAAAAAAAACAATTTGACAATTAAACAAATAAATTTTTTTTGTAACGTCGGGATAATTTGATGATTTCAATAAATTTTTTTGTATTCAATTTCGTTTGGCAGGACCTTATTACAATTTTTCCTAATATTTATGTTTGGAACTACATCAATTTCCTTAAAATCAATCCATTACATGTTTCAATTCAAATGATGCGAATCAACATTAAACTGAAATCAACCTTAGAAGAAAAAACAATGTTGAAACTTTAACCAACACAACTATTTTCAGGCAATAAAAAAAGTTAATAACTATTGTTAAATGACTGAACTTGAGAAGAAAACATGTTTGAGGATCTGAACAATAGCAGCCTGCATTTTATCCCATCCATGTATTGCTGTGTACCTGGCGATGTCTCATGAATTAGCAGCTTTCACCCAAGTATGTGTTCCAAGTTACCAAGGAGCTTTCAGTTTCAGTATGGAAAAAATTCAATAAGCATTAGTGTCCCATCCCTAGATTTCATGTTAGCCCTGAGCCATTATCAGTGTCTCTCCCGGTTCTGCAAGCCAGTTTTAGTACTCTTTACAGAGTAATGAAACTTGTCAAATCTCAACTATTCAAAATCAGTTTTAATGGTATGGATTTAAAATTTTTAACTAGTAAATTTTAAATAAAAAATTATTTTTTTTAGAAAAATTCACAGTCAAGATATTACATTTAGTTTGAAATATCTATATATTAAAAGAAAAATATTATTTTAAACAAATATACTAAATATCAAATCTTGTCCATTTATATTAAATTTAAATAATTGAGATTTAATGATCATGATGCTTATCACTATAATGAACATGTAAGTGCTTATCAATGCAATATTCATTGAATTGCCCCGCTAGAGTCCCTCCGGGCCGTACTGCAAGCAAATCAGAAACCAGAAGCAAAAGAGGCCTACTTTTCCAGTCCCAAAAGAAAAAAAAAAGAGGCTTACTTCCCCGGGGATAACCTCCTATTAGAATGGACACCTATTCTAAGAATTCTTTCCACTAGATCTAACCCCAATCTTCTTTTTTTCTTGACAAAGACCCTACTCAGTGATCATACTATTCTTCCGGTTCTAAATATAAAATCCTTATACACACTAGTATAAGAATATTATATTTAGGACGGGAGACGTATTATTGTGTGGATGATCATCACATTTTTTATTCTGACGACATTTAGGCGAGTCAAAGTCAATTGTATTTTCTTGACAAAGGCCAGGGCCTCTAAACGTATCAGACGAGTCAGGACTCTTGCTACTAATTTGGGCCTCTCGCCCCAATTAGATTGGGCAAAGGAATGAATGACTGTATACGAGTCTGCGCCCATTCTTCTTCTTCTGGAAAGGCCGGCTCATTATTCAATGTTGGGCTGAATTCCAATACTTTACACATACTTCATGAGCTTTATAATATGTTTGGCCCAAAAAAGACTCACATTTTCAGTACCAAAACCAAGGGGAAAGAAATACCATACCATGCTACTCTTGAAATTTCGCATCATGTAGTTCATGCTCGGTAACTCCACATACAACGCATCTAGTAAATAATTTAATAGTAAATGTTCAATTCTTTTGTGATAAAATAAAATTGACAACTTCAATAACGGCGGTCGCCCAAAATATAGACGATGGCAACAATATATTTGCACAATTAAGAACACGAGTTTTAAGAATTTTAGCACTTGTCTTAAACATGAGGATCATACTGTCATCATGCACGTATGTAAGACTCGTTTGTTGACTCTGGATTTTTCAAAATCACGCGCCTCCTTTCCTGTCAGAAAGCTTCGATTATAATGCATAAGCAGGCATTGAAAGGATTCATAATTTATGTTGCAAAGATAGAAAGCGTAATTCCTATTGTCAAGTGATTATATATATAGGGGAAGACCCCAGCATGCAATAGTAAGAATGATGGCGTGTTCCATTATGTTATAAGATATCTTAAAATCAATTGTTGACTGCCATTGATATATATCGCACTATGGTTGACTACCCCTTTAATCAAACAGCATTCTTAGTGCAATTAATCATTCACCTCATGAAATTTGAATCACAAGTCAATGCAGGTGTCTTTGCTCTCTCTCCCTCCCTACCCAAAGTGATATACCTTTCATTTTTATGATCATCAAACACTGTGACCCACAACATATTGCACACCAAGCAAAGTAGATACATGTGTGGATCATGTCATAAAAGAACCACTTCAAACCAAATGTGGAGTTCGATCAATCATTGCTTTGTTCCATTCTCATGTAACACGACACATTTAGGGTCTGTTTTGATTAGCGATTGAAAAAGTAGCTTATTGAAAAAGTAGTTTATGGACAAGTGAAGTTGAGTAAAAGCTAAATTGGATAAGTTGAATTGTGTTTGGATTAGAGTTCAGAAAAGCTAGTTTGCAAAAGTGAAATTGATAAAAGGTTGTTTAGATTATGATTGAGTAAAAGTAAATTTGGTTGTAAAATGACTAAAATGAGTATGGGTTTTAATAAATAATAAAACATGATAAAAAGAAATTATTTCACATAATACAATGATATTAAAATAACTTAATATGAAGAAGTCAAATTTAATGAGTAAATTAAATTTTAAAACTTTAGAGAAATCATAAAAGATATTTTAAATATAAAGTAAAACATGAAAAAAAATAAAAGTATATTTCTAGGAGCATATTTAAAAACAAAAGTATATTTCTAGCTTATTTATTACTTTCAACTAATTTTAACTGATTTTTTCTTATCTACAAATTAGTTATTTGAGGCTTATAATAAGAACCAAAAGAGATAATAAATTTTTTAACTTTTTATCTCTTTATGTTTTAAAAGCTAAATTATAAGCTATAAGTTATAAGCTGTTAATTTTAGCTTACAGCTTATTGTAGCTTTTCATACAAAAGCTCAATTGCAGAAAAGCCCATCCAAACAGCATCATTGTGTCAATCAGACTTATAGTACTTATAAGTTACTTATAAGCTTAAAATAAGTGATGCCAAACAGGCACTTAGTATGTACAGCTTAAAATCTCCCAAGTATTCTTATTGAGCTTCATTAATTTCGCAGGATTGTATCTCCTTAACGGCACGTTTATAGTGTTACTGATGGTTCATTAGTTAAAAGTATGATTATGATATGATCATGTTCTGCTCAAAGGGATTCATATAGCTAGCCCAGAATATTCCAACTTTTATAGGTTTCACTTTGCAGGATTTATATAAGCAATGCAGTTAAACCCAACGACATCTTTGTGGTGAGCTTTAGCAAACATATATACTGTTAGTTTGTTGTCTGTTTGGCTTTGCGACGTGCATATATATTATAGAAGGATGCATGCAGTCTAAAATGAAACATCTCTCGTTAATTAAATTGAAACATCATGAAGTTGTCATGTTGTACTCTCTAAAACGGACTGGAACTATCGATATTATTCACAAATTCTCTGAAATATCATCAATTAATTCAATAAAACGTAAAAGGCTAAATTGATAAATATAAAACTTGAGGGATTAAATTAATAACCACCAGGAGATAAATAAGTTTTTACTATCCCTTTTAACTTTTTATCTTTAGTCCCTGGTGTTGAAAGATTCTACAACATGATTGAAGAAACACACCATTCTATTATTATAAGCAGCATGCCTTGTCTTTAGTTCCCCCACCCTCAAACTTTCATCGCAATAACTTTTTATGATTCAGTCTTCATCTTACAGCTAATTAGTGATTCCACTAATGAATTCTTTTCTTAATATTCTTAATTAATCTCTTCACACACGCAGAGATAATTCGAAGCAACCTCGGCGAAGACGTTAATTAATTACTCTTGACATTCAGGTTCAGGACGAAGGTATAAATTATATCAAAACATTGTGTTCTTTGTTCTCGGTAATTAACTGAAGAAATCAACTGAATCAAAACATATATAAATGAATCAGAACATATTTGAAGCTTCCTTAAACATCATTTTTCTTCGAAATTTCTGGGAAGCATGCCGAAACATACTGAATACAACTAATAATTATGCAGACACCCACGTTGTGGTCACTACTAGCTAGTTCAACTGACAAGAGGGCCAACAGAAAGTTCAGTTGATCCAACGACTGAAACACATCGATCGGCCTGTCGTACCACAATATTTAATTTTAGCATCAAGATCCATATTTTGATTACGTTAACAAAGTACATTTGAACGAACTAGAACGTTTGAACAGAATGAACATGGTCAAGGAGACAAGCCCACAGAGAATGTTTCTGGTCCCAGCTCCTTCACAAAGTATGACCAAACAAGCAGTGGATTATATGTGCATGTTCCAACCCAATTCGTGCTTCCCATTTCTTTTATTATTAACACTTGTTTTGGGCTTAATTAACAAAGAAAAGACAAACTCATAATGGTGTACATCATCATGAGAAGAAGGTGAATAATGAGTAAAACTCTCCCTAACTTTTTAACCGGGGGGGGGGGTTGTTTTGCTTGGACCAGTGTCAGAGAACTTGAAGACAAAGTGAAAGAAACGAACATTTTGGCCAATGATGAACTATAATGCATTATTCCCACGAAAGCTACCACTCATTGAAAAGGCTTATACCTTGTTCAATAAATATATGACAGGCCAAGAACAAAAGATTATTAAGCCCTAGAGAGCGAGGCAAAAGAGAATCCGAGCAGAGATTGCATTTTCCATTATTGAAAAAGAGATCAGAGAGAAAGGAAAACAAACTTGCAGGAGAGGGGAGACAAGGAGAGAATATAATATTAAGGTATGAAGATGAAGATGAAAATTAATATTAAAAGAGAAGATGCAGCTGAAGAAGGGCGCATGATCTAACAAGTTGAGGAATGTTGAATGAGATTGCCTCTGGATGAAATAGTTAAAATGGAGAAGGAGTGAAATACATTAAATATATGGAATGCATGTGAGAATATACAAAGAGAGGAGGGGGAATAGATCGAGTTGGCCATGTGATAAAAGCAGCTTTCTACGACTAGCAAAGCGACCACGCTTCTTTGGCTGCAATCATTCGGTCTACTTATACTTTGCCTTCTCTTTTTCATTTGTCTTCTCCTATGTTTACCTCCTTCCCTCTTTACCCACAAGCAATATTTAATTCAATTTCCTGGTTTCTTCTAATCCAATGCAAAATCTTATATCGGACTGTTTGCTTTTAGGTAGATTCAACTTTGGCCAGTGCGAACCAACACCATTCAAAACAGTCAATTCCTTGAGTTTTGAAAACCCATCTTCTACCTACTAATTATTTATATCTTGGGAATAATGGGCTAGATTAAAGTTGTTTTTAATTAGTTGACTTCTGTTGATATTAAAATATATACGATGTAATTTTCATAAAAATGATATTGTTGATACCCCAAATTTATAAAATGTGCGTGTCAAATACTAATTCGCGCCATTTTAAAAAGAATTAAGAATTGCAAGTGGAGAAGTGGAGAAGCTGTATAATAATTGGCGACGAGAAATAACCAAATGCATGAGAAAATGGAAATTTCAATTAAATTAGGTGAAGGAATAAAAAATTAAGCAATGATTTACTTGATGAGCTCGGGAAGCGGAGAGACCCACTCGTGCGGTGAAGCCATCACGCCCGTCTAGGTATCTACTTGTTATTGATAATTTGATATTGTCACTCTTCTGAGAATTCAATTAAGTGCTTTAATATTTTAGCATTGTTTTCTCTGATTTTATTTGGGTGAAGATAAATGTCACAAGAATTTTAATTGCAAAAAGGGGCTCGAAAACCAGAGGATTTCGTCAAAGCACCATTCTTTCGTGTTTTTTTTTTTGGGGGGGCCGGTTTTCCTTTATTTATTTATATGTTTACACTATATTCGTTTTTAAGTTGTCCAAAAAGGTAAAGATTAATTACTCAGTCTCCAAAATCGCTCTCTACAATCCCTCTCACACACAGACTTTCCCAAGCTTCGAGAACCCCACTCTATCATCTCTCTTGGTCTCCCTCTTTATATATATATATGCCCCCACTCCTAGAACTTCTCAGACAGGATCCCTCTCCTTTCCAATCTCCCCTAACACTGTTGTATATCATAACCCGGCTTGAAAAGTCAAGCTCCAGATACAGAAGTTGCAGAAGAAAGAAGCCTCCAGAATGGCGTCGGAGAAGGAAGTGGAGCCGGTAATAATCGGAAACTACGTGGAAATGGAAACAGAAGGCAAGCCTAAGGACATCAAGTCCAAGTTATCCAAGTTCTTGTGGCACGGTGGCTCTGTTTATGATGCTTGGTTTAGCTGTGCTTCCAACCAGGTTCCTTTGTTTAACTCCTTCTTATGTTGCCTCCTTATTTTGATCACTTAGCTTTCCCAGCTCGTATCTGACACTACGGTTGGCTTTGATTTCCCCAGGTGGCTCAAGTTCTGCTCACACTACCGTACTCATTTTCTCAACTGGGAATGCTGTCTGGGATATTGTTTCAACTGTTCTACGGCTTGCTGGGAAGCTGGACGGCATATCTGATCAGCGTTCTGTATGTCGAGTATAGAACCAGGAAGGAAAGAGAGAAAGTAGATTTCAGAAACCACGTGATCCAGTGGTTTGAAGTTCTGGACGGGCTTCTTGGGAAGCACTGGAGAAATGTGGGTTTGGCCTTTAACTGCACATTTCTTCTGTTTGGATCTGTCATCCAACTCATTGCTTGTGCCAGGTACACACCCCGTCTTTGTCTACCTAACCCAGTCCTTTTAATCTCTGACCCTCATCCTTAGTAACTAGTTTAAAGAAATAGTAGTATATATGAAGTGAGAGCGGAAGGGATCAGAACTCACATGCGCGCGTCTGTCTGATGATTATGCAGCAATATATACTATATAAACGACAATCTGGACAAAAGGACATGGACTTACATCTTCGGAGCTTGTTGTGCCACCACAGTGTTCATCCCTTCCTTCCACAACTACCGAATCTGGTCATTTTTGGGCCTCCTCATGACCACCTACACCGCTTGGTACCTCACTATTGCCTCTCTTATGCATGGCCAGGTATGTAGTAACACAAGCTGAGGAACACTGTATGGTTAATGGTTAATTGGTCAATGATAATGGAATTGTGGTTGAATGTGTGTGTGCAGGTGGAGGGAGTGAAGCATTCGGGGCCTGCCAAGTTGGTTCTGTATTTTACGGGGGCCACAAACATTCTCTACACATTCGGAGGCCATGCCGTGACTGTGTAAGACAGTCTTCTCAAATATCTAATTCCATGTCCTTTTTCTTTTCTTTTCTTTTCTTTTTTGAGGACGAACCTGCCCTTGCCTTCTTTGGCTGATCCATCTAATGAAACAACTATATTCCCCATCGAGAGTGACCGAACCTGGACTGGGGTTGGACATGATCTGACCACGGGATCCCATGACCCGTCACCAGTCATTTTCGTTCCATCGTTTTAATGCTTTGACTGATACCTCTGTTTTCGCTGCCTGGTCAGCATGCTTGTAGATTCAGCATAGCATAGCATATCTGAACATGACGCTTCAATATTTAACTATACCTTCCTTTTTTTTTCTCTGAATTATTGTCAGTATTACTATTAAAATTAAATAATATTTTACTTTGATTTGGTTGGAGGAAGAAAAGAGCCTTGATAGGCGTGGGAGGCAGAAAAGTGCCTCTTTTAGTGTGAACCCTGAGATGCTTTTGTTTGTAGATTTGTGGGGGAAAAGCCAAAAATGTTCCTGCCTTTTCTCTCTTTCTCACCCAATATCTTTCTTTCAATATTTTTTGTCAAAAGTTAAGTCATGACCTTAACCCATTCAAAATTGATACTTAACGAGTGTGTCACTGTGTCCTGTGATTATGGCATGCATGCACCAAATAAACACTGCATTAAAATCAAGATGGTGTGACGTAAGTTAAATGTTTCTGAATTTGATCTTATTCGTGGTGGTGGCAAATGCGCAGAGAAATCATGCATGCGATGTGGAGGCCAGAGAAGTTCAAGGCGATATACCTGCTGGCAACTGTGTACGTGTTGACGCTGACGCTGCCGTCGGCTGCGGCGGTGTATTGGGCGTTTGGAGATATGCTGCTGGACCACTCGAACGCCTTCTCGCTGCTGCCCAAGTCGGCGTTCAGGGACATGGCGGTGGTGCTCATGCTGATCCACCAGTTCATAACCTTCGGGTTCGCCTGCACGCCCCTGTACCTGGTGTGGGAGAAGCTGATAGGGCTTCACTCGTGCAAGAGCCTGTGCAAGCGTGCGGCGTCGAGGTTGCCGGTGGTGATCCCGATCTGGTTCTTGGCTATCATATTCCCGTTCTTCGGTCCGATCAATTCCACGGTGGGATCGCTGCTCGTCAGCTTCACGGTGTACATAATCCCAGCTCTTGCTCATATCTTCACCTTCCGATCTCCCGCCTCCCGTCAGGTAATGCTCCTCGCACTTTCCGCCTTTCTTCCAAGACTCGCGAATATCTGGAGAGTTCTAAATGAACGTTGGATTTTACGATTTGCAGAATGCGGTGGAGCAGCCACCCAGGTGCTTGGGGAGCTGGGTCGGAACGTATATCATCAACGTGTTCGTGGTGATATGGGTCATGGTTGTCGGGTTCGGATTTGGAGGGTGGGCCAGCATGATCAACTTCATCCGCCAGATTGACTCCTTCGGCCTCTTCACTAAGTGCTATCAGTGCCCTCCTCCTCCTCCTTCCTCACCCTCTTTTCTTAATGCCACCGCCACCGTCGCTGCCGCTCCTTCGCCTCACCACCACCACTGATCACGCCATTGTTGCCGCGGAAGACGATGCCGGAGTTTCTGATATTGTATTTTCGCCCATATTAATGACATAATCCCCCTGTTGCATTCATAAACTTTGCAATCTTCAACTTTGCCTTTCATGATAGTTAACAAGTACCTTGTTATGACGTGACTTCCGTAAATGACTCAGAAAAAATAAATTATAAAGTTAAAAATTCCCACGTTACTCCTCCAAAATATGCACCAAACATATTTTAAAACAAACTTGTGAGTCTATCTGTGATCGATACCCCTGCTCATATACATGAAAATTAATATGATTGGAAAAACAAGTACGTGCTTGGATCATTTACAATGCTTGACTGTATGTGTGTATTTATGTCAATCTCCTCTCGGAGACTCGGACTCTTCAAGAAGTCCACTCATAATGAAAAATCTTAAGAATCTTGGTGCTAATTTAATAGTATTACGCTGAGAACCATTAAGTATTTACTTTTGCAAACTGCTATGAACGTAGGATTCTGTTCACAACTGGCTCGGAGGAATGCCCCCAGATATAAACATTGAAAAGGCAAAGCTCTTGCTGGCTGGCACGCCAGTCTAAGAAAAGAAATGAAAGCAGAGTGTTTGGCGTTATTGCTGAAGATGATGGTTATACTGATACTGATGCATCATATTATAAGTATATTAAAAAATATGGTAGCTGACAAAAAGGGGGCATCTTTTGTGTTAAAATGACTGTTATGAATTCAAAGTGTTTGAGTGTTAATTAATGAGGTGTTTGTACTTTTGGATACGTTTGGCCAGCGCTTTGCACTTGATATATTATAACCACACCAAGAAGGCACGTCATTTCTCTAACTCTAAGCCACCCACACCAACAAAAGAAGCCTAACCCTATCCGCCTCATTCTGCCAAGTAAATAAACCAATAAATGGAGCGACCTGAAATTTACAAACAAATTAACTTTTCTGCCCATAGATTGAGGTGAAGAGAGATTGAATATCGGAAGGAGGGAATATATGGGAAAGAAGGAGGGAAGGGTGTTGACGTGTGAGGAGAGTTGAGTGGGAATCTAATGATAATCTAGCTTCCCAGAAAGGGTAACAGTGAATGAGAAAGCAAGTGAGGATCAAAAAAGACCTTTCGTGCGAAGTGTTCTGTTATGTGAATGCTTTTCACAGAAGCAACAGCGCCTAAAAGGTCGAGAATATATAACAACGCCAGCAGATATATCATATACTTTTTTTCTGCCATCAATCCGTTTCGCTGCTTTATTCCTGAGACAAACAAGACGATGCCCTCTCCACTCTTTTGCAGGCATGCTCTGCTCTCCTTTATAAATGCGTCAACTAAGCCCGCCACAGTACTACCTCCTCACCTAATTATAACATCTTGTTTATAGTGTATAAACCAGATCTGATAAATGCGACAGGAGGTAGTACTTCTAATTAACTTGTTTCTTCAGGGCCAAATGAAACTATTACGAGAAATACTTTCCCCCTCTTTGTCCCTTCTCTTTGTCCTGCCCTGTTATACGACTCTGAAACATGCCTTGGCCAACCAGTTAGGAAGGGGGATCGATGGGTACTTCTCATGAATTTGACTATGTATATATCTTACTTGATTCAATACGAATCACAATCTCAATTCATGTATGGTTCCAGCTTCGCTTATCCTCATTCCTCTTATCTCTCGTTTTCGTGGTCCACATCTCCGGCATTATCTTTCTCCACACCCATGTTCAATTGTTTCTCTCACTTTCTTTCTTTTTGCCGACACAAAGCTACAGATCTTTACTTCTGTTCAGGTTGCCAAAAAAGCATCTCTCTTTTTTATTTACTTGTTCAGGTGCAGGGCAGGAGCCCAAGAACAAAAACGAATTCAAGCCTGCATATTTTTTAGGTCCATATGAAGCCCAGCTTAAAGTGGGCTAGCCCAGCTTCACGCAGACAAAGTCTGCACCCAAAAATTGTCTTCACTTTTCTGACCCAGAAAGGGAACACCAAGTATAGCCGTCCATGGATTGAAAGATCTCTGGTTCTTATCAAAAGATCTCTGGATTTTCCTTTCCTTTTGCTTTTTATTGTCCCAAAATTGACTATCTCGTTAATGACAAGTGGCACCTAAAGCTCAAACTAAATAATGACAAGTTAAATCTAAGTGAGTATACAAACTGAAGGGGGGGAAAATATTAAAAAGGCGTAGTATATCCTACAAAAAGACCCATTGTATGAAAAGGCCTGGGGCCAATGTTGGCTCTTCAATTGAATACTTTACAACAGAGAATCACGAGGCATGCTGCACAAGGATGGAGGAGGAGAGGGACTATAGATCAGGACGACAAGAAACGTAAAAGTGTAACAAAGCTGGGATCTTCTTCTAAATTAATTCACAAAAGGGTAATCACCCAAACCATTTGCTAAGTTATACACACACACACACACACTTTGATTTTTGATCCATGTTAGAGAGTAAGTCGAAAAGGGAACCCCAAAAACGTCTGTCCATTTCGAAGTTTAAATAAAGCTCGATCGATAATCAGTGGAATCCTCGTGTACCTCTTGCTTGATACAGTTCCAATCTACCCGTGGCTTGCTCTAAAAGGTCGTCAATGAGCGGATCTTGATTCAGTTGCGAGTTCTTCCTACCCCACTCCAAAACTCCAAGAACTTCGTCTTTGGCAAGCGTCTCACTTTTGGGCACGTGCATTGCCACATAAGCCAGAAGTTTCAACGCACAAATCTTATGGATCACTTGGTCCCCAAATAAAATCATTTGAATCACGAGCTTTGCTCCTCCTGCTTCTATTATGGCCGAGCAGTGAGTCTCGTGCAGAAAGTTCTCAGTACAAGCAAACTTGGTAAGTGCAATTGCGGATTCCAGTCGAACCTCGAGTTCGAATTCTACTTCATCAAGCAGCCTCACCAATGGTGCTATGATTCTCGTTTCTGTTGCTCTGAAAGTCCTCGCCAAGTGACCTATCGATCTGATGCAAGGTATCAGAAGATCGGATTCCCCTTTTTGAATGATCCTAAGAAGCTGATCCACCATGGCTTTTGCAGCAGGGGAATTGGGTTTGAAAGCTGAACGTCTCAACTCTGCGTGCTGCTCTGCCACAGCCGTGATCTCCATTAAAGCAAAAGCCGAAAAGGATTTAACGTCATCAGGTCCCTTCTCCAGCAGAACAGCAAAACACAAAAGAGCCCTCGATTCAGTGATGCTGCGACAGACAGTAATATTCCCCTTTGCTAGTTGCCACAGCGCTTTAGCTGCCATGGCCTTCATTTGGGCCTTTATAACTGGATCCACAGCCTCCCTTCCCTTCATACTTGTTCCTGCAATTGAAACATGTGCGTGCCCATTTGGTTGGTGTTTCATGGCCATTGTGTTGGTAACTAGATTGTGCATTTGGTTGGATGATTGGTTCCCCACAGGGCGAGCAATCTGATGATGCTTATTATCGTTGTCTTCAAGCATAGTTTTCTTGTCATGATGATCGTTCTGGTTCTGAGCGTTACTGGCCAACACGACCGAATGAATCGACGACATGCTTTGTTTACTGGCAATGCTATACTTGCTGTGTTCCTGGATGGTCTCAAAGGCGAGATGCCTGACCAGCAAGCGTATGCAATTGTTCTGAGCAAAGTGATCCTGACACTTTGGGTGATGATATGCTAATTCCGAGATAGCCCAAGCCACCATCGCCTGAACCTTCATGTCACCTTCTTTGAGGATTTTCGCAAACACTGTGCAAACCCCAGCATTCACAATCTGTTCCACGCTTTCTGGGTCTTTCCCAAGCAACCCAATCGCCCTCGCTGCGTTTTCCTGACCCTCTACATGCCCTTCTTTCAACAATTTCAAAAGTGGCGGAACACCACCCTCCTCAATAATCAACTTGTTGTACCTATATTAAAAACCAACCAACCATTTCAGTTACGATATCTATAACGCTTTAAAATCAAAATTGAGGATTTTATATATGAGAACGTACAGTTGGTGATAATGAAAAGAAATGAAATAAATGCAAAGTTAGCGTACCTGTCGTTGTCTCGAGCCAAAGAGACCAAGGAAGCCGCAGCGTCCGAGCGATCTTCCATGGAACACCCCGTGAGCAATATTGCTATCTGCTCCCAGATTAGACACAAGATGGGCTCGTTGGCGGCGATTGGGGGCAGACCCAGATACTCGTCGTCGCGCTCGTCGGCGGAAATAGACACGCGAAGGAGCCATTGTATGTCTCCGAGGGAATTCTCGAGCTGCATCGACGTCTTGCGAAACGCCGTCGCGGGTATGATGGTGAAGAGTCGTTTCATGAGGCCGTTACCGCGGCATTTGTCGACCAGTTGCAGGGCCTTCTCGAGGACTTGTTCTGTGTCGTCGATGATGCGCCGTGTTGGCCGTTCGTAGAGGTCATTGCTGGCCCTCGCGGCTTGCCGGAGCAAGGCAATGAGTTTCTCCGTTTTGGCCTTGAGCTCTAAACATTCTAGTTTGAATGTTTGGGCTTCGTCGGCCAGCTTGATCACCTGGTCCGCCATCTGTATCGGGCTCGCCAGGATGTCCTTGACGATGCTCGACGTCATTTTCTCAGCGGACCCAATCGCGTGCTTTCAACTTTGAAAGATGAATTAAATCACCCCAACCTGATTGGATTTGAAGAAAGTTGATGCTAAGCAAAATGACATACAGTCTTGGGGAGGAGGTTTTGAGTGTGAAAAATGAAAATGAGATCAGGGAGTTTCTGTTTGTTTGTAGTTCTAGATTATTCTAGCAATGAGCCTGGGGATAGAAACGCGCACATAATTAACGTTCATGGAACGAACGTTCGGGTTTTGAATGAGATGTTTTTTTCTGGTCGATACATTCGGGATTGTGCATGCGTCTGCATGCTAGCAAGGAAGGTGGGGTGTGGAGGCGCCGGTGAGGGAGGTGGCGCCGCCGGTGACCATGAGAGAAGAAGATGGTGAATATGGCGATGGCGGAACGGTTTTTTCTCTACTAGTTTTATGTAAAGAGGTACCATAAATCATGGGGTTATATATAGCACGGGAAATCGGTTGGCCTCCAATTAAACTCTTGAGGTTAGAGGTCGGTTTCTGCTTTCGAGTACCTGAGAGGACAACCTCCATGATTCGCACTCTGGGTGCGCGGCCACGTTCATATGCACGCTCCCATCTGGCGGCTGGTAAATACTATCGCTTTCGTGGAGCTTGCGTCATCT